ATTTTTACATCCCCCATAATAAACAATATTCCTGTTTGATTGCATCACTTACCATCGCCAATAAATAGTACATCATAATGATCTCTTAACCTTGTAGCCATGTAGTTAGCATTAAGGATTGCAACCTGAAATATAAGACAGGATTGTATTACATTAATCAACAATACAGATACCTCGTGATTGAAGTACAGAGATTTGTTAAATGTACACTGATATTCAAAAGGTGATGGTGTGCTATGGTCTCCTTAATTAACACCACTCTAATCTATAGGATTCCTGTGTTTAATTATCCACTTATTAATCCTATAAATAGGGACCTGACTGTCAAATTATTTTTCTCAATTGGAGAGCTAGAAATAATATGTAGGTATATGACATCATTGATGCTGGAGCCTGCAAAGAAGCCTAAGTGATTATAATACGGTGAAGACTGTCAGTTTGTATTTGAACAGATGCAGCACTTCAGCCCATGACTTTGATCGTTAGGAAATCAATCAACTATGTTTTAAAGATACTAAATATTAAACAGTACTACAGCATTTCAATGATTATCCAACATTATTGAAAGCTCTTTTACATGTAGAGAAATGCAGATAATTCAAAAATAAGACATGATCGTACTCCCTGAGGACCAAACTTTCACTTTCATTAACAATAAATAAAATTAAGTTTCATGAAAATGCATCTCCATAGAAGATTTAACTTCAGGATTTGAGTGTATAACTGACATTCAGCTCACTTAAAAGTAAGTTGTATCAATCCTTGATATATATATATAGAGCAATATTTGCCATACCTCGGAAGCCTTTTTAAGTCCCTTAGCTCCCATTAGCTTGATATAAGCCCATGATATTGTCAGAATGGCACTTGAGCCATATGGAGCGGCAGATATTACACCAAAGGGTTTAGCACCTGGAGCTACTGTTGATGTAGGAGGCATGACTGGATGTGAYGGTAGGTATGGAATAAGGTGCTTTTTACTRCAATACAAAGAAGACAGTTATGTACCAATARAGGGCRTCACCTGGACAAGTAGATATCAAKATGAATACTCCAGTTTCGATTTCTTTTTTGTGCAAGCTTAGCTAACGCTAACGCTTTCTTAGTCAAACTCTCTCTGAAACCTTGTTCCCTACTGTTTGATTTTTAACCAACAAGAACAAAGATTTTGTTTTTCAATGTTGGGACTGAATCCAAAACAACAACAACAACAATAACTCAGAATAACACATTTAAGTTACGATGTCTTCACTTTCAAGTATTTTAATAAGATTCAAATTCTGTACTTATATTTCGTACAACACAACAATAGCAAGAATAACAAAACAATAGAACGTATTCGCATAACCCACTTTTTAAATGCTAATGAGTTTTGCTAATATTCTAATGAGATTGACACAAGAAACAAAAGAGCGAAAACATACTTGAGTGATTTCAAAATATTACTATTTTGAGCTCAGTTCAATAAATACACAATTTCAAACGGAAACATTTTTATTATTAAAGTTAATCAATTTCAACAGTTATTGGCTACAAGATTGAAAATTCCTTGAATGCCAACAGATCGTTTCTTTTAAGCGGTTGATAATGTTAATTTAAATTGTTTTAAATAAATTGGGCGCATGGGAAGAATTATAAAACAAGCATTGCAGACATCCACAGCCCGTCGATACCAGAATCAAAACCGATTCTGGACAATGACAGCAATGAGGTCCGTTTCAGACGTCTATCTTTTGCCGCGTCTAATCTAATTACTTGCATGTAGTTTACGAGAAGTTGAGATAGCTGTATAGCTTAAATAAAAATGTTTCCTTTTGAAATTTTGCATTTATTGAACTGAGCTCAAAATAGTTTTGAAATAATATTCGCTACTGAAATCACTCANCTTTTTTGTGCAAGCTTAGCTAACGCTAACGCTTTCTTAGTCAAACTCTCTCTGAAACCTTGTTCCCTACTGTTTGATTTTTAACCAACAAGAACAAAGATTTTGTTTTTCAATGTTGGGACTGAATCCAAAACAACAACAACAACAACTCAGAATAAAGAATAACACATTTAAGTTACAACGTTTTGAAGTCATACAATGAATACAATACAATACAATACAATACAATGAACTTTATTTAAAGAGGGTAACACTTGACAGTATTAAAACACTGATGAACTCGTGGCCCTCATCTTGACTTCATTTTCAAGTATTTTAATGACATTCAAATTCTGTACTTATATGTCGTACAACACAACAATAGTAAGAAAAACAAACAATATGTCAAATAGGTGTTGGACACAACTACACAAACACCTTGGCCCGTATCGAGTCTGATTGTATGTTCAACCTTGGTCCTTTGTTCCGAATATAAAGCATCTCGTAGAAAAGACAATTACATTTAAAGTACAGAATTTGAATCTCAATAAAATACTTGAAAATGAAGTCAAGATGACTTCGAAACATCGTAACTTAAAAGTGTTATTCTATCACAAAATCTCTACTAATAAGAACAACAACAACAAACAAACAAAAACAAACAAATTTCAAAGAAATCAAAATTGCTAAGTTCACTCTTATAAGTAATTTCACGCTGGGCTGTTGGCAAAGCAAGGCCGATAATGTCACATCAATAACACAGTCGTGTGTGATTTACTTACACTCCAATGGGCCCCATTCCTGGCCCACCCCCTCCATGTGGAATACAGAAGGTTTTATGCAAATTACTATGCATAACATCAGCACCGTAGTCMGCTGGTCTGCACAAACCAACCTACAMATATAAACWGACAATGARSTCAYTGAKTTTATTRTAACCTCACCGTGTATCATGGGATACCTGTGCATTTAGGTTMGCTCCATCTAAGTAGACCTGGCCACCATGATAATGAACCATGTCACAGATCTCCCTGGAAACAAATAGATAGATGGCTATCATTAATAAATAAATCAACCAATCAGTCAAGAAGACCACCTGTCAAGCACACATGACATTTTTTTCTTTTCTTTTTTCTGATAATTGCAATATAAAACATAATTTCTCTAGCATTTTATAATTTAAAGTGTAGTTAAGTAACCAGTCAACCAACCAAACAATCCACTCAACCAACCATAAGTTCAATCAATCCATCAATTCAATAAATCAGCCATCGATCAATTAATTAACAATCCATTCCATCAATCAATTAATCAGTGAATCAATTAACTATTCATTCATCACAAACAATTGACAATTACATTTTAATGAACCAATGAACCAATCAATCAACCCATAAATTGATCAATCAATCTGTCAATCAATCAATCTGTCAATCAATCAGTGCATCCCTTACCTGATTCCTGCTTCAAACACACCATTGGTTGATGGATAAGTAACCATGATTGCTGCCAACTCACTGCTGTATTTTTCAGACTTTTCCTTCAAGTCAGCAAGGTCAATGTTACCATGACTATCCACTTTGATGACCTTGACCTCCATACCAGCCATCTGTGCACTGGCCGGGTTAGTACCATGGGCTGATACWGGAATCAAGCAAACCTACAATGAACACATAGCTTAGTGTTAGTACTATCATGATAGTAACGATATCCACATGTAGGCCAGTACCATGCACTAAAACAAGAATCAAGCAAACCAGTCATACAGATGTTACTGGGTATTACATGATGTATATACAGTGAGTCCTAGCTAGAAGTATATTTCTCTCTTTTGAAAAACGTTATTTTTACTACCTTTATTTTGAGGTTTGTCTATATATATTGGAAGTAAAAAATTGGTAAAAAGAACATTTTACATGGTCATTATTTGTGAGTGTTAAATATCTCACTCATTCTCTTCACGACTTGTGAAAGATCTTTTCAACACTTGAAGATAAAATCTGTATCTCTGTGTGCCCATGGAATATTCTCAGTCTATGTATTTCATACTTCCTTGAACTCTATCTTTCTATGTTTTACATATCAACTTTCTACTTGTTTGTTGATGTTTATTTTATTTGTATATTTTAAATGTTGTAGGGGATGGATGTCAATGGGCTGGCTTGCCATGTTTCCATCACCCGTCTGTTAGTAAATTGTATTAATTTAATTGTTTTTTGTTTTGTTTTTTTACTTAAAAGTATTTGTGCATGTTTTTTGTGCAGTTATTATATCAAATAACAATTAATTATGATGACGATTAATGAAACTTTGCTAGAGTAAAATGCATTGCTCATTACATTGTTATGCATTTTAAATAAATATTAATATCGTTAGCACCTTTCTGTTGTCTTGTCCAATGTCTTCTTGATAAGCTTTGATTACTCTGAGTCCAGTATATTCACCTTGGGCTCCACTATGAATGACATTACCATGACAACATCAATATTAATAGATTACTGGCTGTCAATTCCCTGTTACCCGATTAATAGTGGNTCAATCAATCAATCTGTCAATCAATCAGTGCATCCCTTACCTGATTCCTGCTTCAAACACACCATTGGTTGATGGATAAGTAACCATGATTGCTGCCAACTCACTGCTGTATTTTTCAGACTTTTCCTTCAAGTCAGCAAGGTCAATGTTACCATGACTATCCACTTTGATGACCTTGACCTCCATACCAGCCATCTGTGCACTGGCCGGGTTAGTACCATGGGCTGATACWGGAATCAAGCAAACCTACAATGAACACATAGCTTAGTGTTAGTACTATCATGATAGTAACGATATCCACATGTAGGCCAGTACCATGCACTAAAACAAGAATCAAGCAAACCAGTCATACAGATGTTACTGGGTATTACATGATGTATATACAGTGAGTCCTAGCTAGAAGTATATTTCTCTCTTTTGAAAAACGTTATTTTTACTACCTTTATTTTGAGGTTTGTCTATATATATTGGAAGTAAAAAATTGGTAAAAAGAACATTTTACATGGTCATTATTTGTGAGTGTTAAATATCTCACTCATTCTCTTCACGACTTGTGAAAGATCTTTTCAACACTTGAAGATAAAATCTGTATCTCTGTGTGCCCATGGAATATTCTCAGTCTATGTATTTCATACTTCCTTGAACTCTATCTTTCTATGTTTTACATATCAACTTTCTACTTGTTTGTTGATGTTTATTTTATTTGTATATTTTAAATGTTGTAGGGGATGGATGTCAATGGGCTGGCTTGCCATGTTTCCATCACCCGTCTGTTAGTAAATTGTATTAATTTAATTGTTTTTTGTTTTGTTTTTTTACTTAAAAGTATTTGTGCATGTTTTTTGTGCAGTTATTATATCAAATAACAATTAATTATGATGACGATTAATGAAACTTTGCTAGAGTAAAATGCATTGCTCATTACATTGTTATGCATTTTAAATAAATATTAATATCGTTAGCACCTTTCTGTTGTCTTGTCCAATGTCTTCTTGATAAGCTTTGATTACTCTGAGTCCAGTATATTCACCTTGGGCTCCACTATGAATGACATTACCATGACAACATCAATATTAATAGATTACTGGCTGTCAATTCACCTTGGGCTCCACTATGAATGACATTACCATGACAACATCAATATTAATAGATTACTGGCTGTCAATTCCCTGTTACCCAATTAATAGTGGCATACGAAGCAATCAGACAATGAAAGCATCATTTTTGCATGATCATATCATTTGACATTTTGAGGGTGCAATATCCTTACTGAATACAACCAAAACTGTCCAATAGTTTTTCTGTGTGATTCCCTGTATCGTATTGAAATGTAACCATGTCTTGGAATCAAAATGTTGTGAACAAAAGGTTTCTATCATGATTATTGCTGCAATATTCCCAGGGCCATTTTGATGCAAAGGCACKTTACATTTCAAGATGGCACAGTAAACCATGAAGGAGGCTAGTCAGACCAGAGCATTAGTGTTGTGAAGGTCAATCAGTTAATCAGACATTTTATCGTCAAAAATCGCACAGTTAGTCAGGTGACAAAATCGTACAGTTCCGTCTAAAAGTAAATACATGTAAGATTAACAAACACCTTTCCATCTAAGACAAACTGTTAGCCAGGCACAACCAGTAAACCAGAAATTTTACCATCAAAGTCAAACAGCTGTCCAGACAAGTCGTCTTAGTTACTCTAGTCAGTTACATGTAGGTAGACACTTTTTTAGTTGTTTAAAAACAACTAAGTCAATTTGCAATCCAGACAATGTGTTGTCTACTAGTAAGTCAAAGAGTAAACTTTGCTGTCTAAGTAAATCAGCCAGCCAGACAACTGTTTATTGACTGACCAAGATAACTTTAAAATTTGTAAATCAAGAATATCAAATATACATCACAGGATGGTCACGTGAAATACCTGTTTGGCTGGAAGCAAACTGCATCAAATCCAGTTATCTGGCAAAAGTCATGTTCTAATTCACGRTAAAGTTTCTCATATCCCTGCGCCTGGTCAACAGGTACAAATGGATGAATGTCAGAAAATTTAGGCCAYGTGATAGGCATCATTTCTGTAGTACTGTTTAATTTCATGGTACAAGACCCCTGTGGAATGTAACAAAATAGTATTACTATTAAAAGTACTTTAAAGTGAATGTCATCCCTTCCTGGAGTAAGATAGGTCATGGAGTAAAGAAACAATACCAGGAATATTTAC